GGGGGGAGTGGGGTGGGGGTTCACAGACAAAATACTTCCTTTGAAAACAGGAAACACATTTTGCTTGACGACGTCTTCAGACAGATCTTCAGTAAACGGAGGAGGAGGAAAAATGAATGGTGTCAGACGTCGACCACCATCTTCTTATGGATGTCCAGTCCACCGACCACCTGAGGACACAAAACAGCCGAGGTCACACCCTGACACAGCACGCTCCCCACAGCTACACCTCCGGTCCACCTCAGATGTCGTGTCAGAAACGCCACCTGAGATCCGACGAACCAAGTCCCAGACGTGTGGGCGGAGACAAACACTGAGCTGAACAGGCGGAGCCTCGTTTGACTTACCGCGCAGAACTCCTCGAAGGATATCCTGCCGTCGCCGTCTTTGTCTGCGTTGATGATGGTTTTGTCGACGATCTGCTGAAGCTGCGTGTCCTTCAGGTTGTTTCCCACCATCATCTTCAGGACCTGGAAGAGCTCGCCGTTGGAAATGAAGCCGTCTTTGTCCATGTCGTAGATCCTGAAGGCGACTGAGGACAAAGACACGACACAGAGGAACGATGTCAGTCAACAGACGTCTTCGTCTGAGTGTCTTGGTGACTGCTTTGTTGTGACATCACAAAGTTCCAGAAGTCCTGACGGCTGGTTTTAAGGCTCAGTTTCTGAATACAGGCTGTGTGCATTTCTCTGTGGACTGAGGCTTTGATACTTTCACAGTATTAATATAGAAGCTAGAGCTGATCTATAATCACACTACACATGGACACAGACCTTTACACTGGAGGAGCTGTAAGGAGAAACAGTTATAAAGATACAACATACTGAATACTGATGTTTAATCTGAATGAAATGTAAAGTTCAGACAATCATGTAGGTGTTGAACTGTCCAATGATCATGGAACATGATTTAGAGAACTGTGTTTCTATGAGTTAATTACCTGAACAGCTCGGTGACTTTAATAATCATGACACATTGTGCAGACACAGTCGTGTTATTCAAACTTACAGCGTAACTTCTGTTCCTTATCCCCTTTCACACTGAACTGGGAAACTCCTTCAATGAACTCTGCCAAAAATCAGAAATAAAAAACATCAGTTCAAACTGCAGTTATAAAAAAACAAGAAAGCGACTGAAGATCATCAAGTTACAGAAAACAAGCTACATGTAGTCAGTCATCAGAATCAGCCCTGGGAGATTTGAGCTTTATTGTATTTTAGGGATTTTTCAGATGATAATATGGAAGTTCAACATTGCACATTTAAAAAGAAAAGAAACATTAAAATGAGTCTGAAGTTCCCAAAACATGAAAGTCTTGATAAAGGTTTTCATTTGAAAATATGTTTTCCTGCCTGAAAAGTCAATGTTGAGCTTCTGTCTGACAAACACACTGACACATGATGACATCACATCCTGTATGATCCACAGGCGACCAATGAAACGTTACCATGATTAAAATCACGGATTTCTCTGGTTTGAGAATTGATGGAAACATTTGTGATGATGTAAGAACACAACTCAAGAACATACAGAACATATAGAACATATAGAACATATAGAACAGAGAACGTAGAAGAGAGAACATAGATGTAGATGTTTTAGAAGTTTCAGATGAGAACTTTAGAGCCGACAGGTCACAGGTGAGCAGTAAAGTCTTTCAGCTCCTGCTTTTGTTGATTTGTTTACCTTGAAAGTCGACTTCCCCGTTTCCGTCGGTGTCGAATATGTCGATGACTCGCTGCACGAGCGGATTCTGCTGGAGCTCGGGTAAGGACATGAACTCCTCCACGCTCAGGGAGCCGGAGTTATCTAGGTCGAGTTTCTTAAATCTCTTTCCCAGCCTCTTAATCTCATCAGCATCAACTGAAATGAAACGGAGAGAGAGACGGAGTTATTCACAGGCTGAAACAAACCAGTCAAGTTTCAGCGGAGCGGCAGATTATCTGGACAAACGTTGGCTGAACACTGAGTGGGCGACACGTCCAACTGTGAGCTTCAGGACACACGGCCGTGAAAACACCTGTCGCCCACCTGTGTCTTATTTCCTCCCTTTCCCGCCTTTAGAAGCAGTTCCCCCTCAGAGAAACAACCAGACTCACCTGGCTTCCTGTTTCTACTGGCCATGACTGCTCACAGCTGCTGGTCCGTCACCGCACCAGTTAAATGAACCCTGAGCTACTGGACCTCCTGGCGCCTCGCTCTAAGCTCTAACACCGGGTCATGTGACGCCTCTCTGAAGGCTAATCACTCTGCTGATAACCATGAATCGGCGGGACACTGTGGCGGTGGGGGCCGCATTGTGTCTGTAACCAGTCAGCTCATGGAGATAATTCAAGCTGTCAAAGTAAATATTTAATCCAATTATTCCAAAAGAAACTAATAAGATTTGACAAAATGTGGAACCTGTGAGGTTTGTTTGGATGTAGAGCAGCAGCCGAGCGTCGACGTGAAGCTTCATGTGCATTTTATCACTGACGCAAGAAGCTTTTCCACGTTTCTATGAGCCAGATGTGACCTCTGGAGTAATGAGCGTGGTCCATGCTAGCTTCTGATTACAGTGTTTGCTAATGTGCTAGCTAGTCATGTAATTCCATAGAACACAGCTTCATTAACACCTGGAAACACCTGGAGATGTTGGGTCTGCATGCTTCAGTCTTGACATGCAGTTGGTTTGTCTGCTTCACTCATGGGAAGATGTGAGTGACATTGTGTCATGATGAATGATCAATGAGCAAAATCTATAATTCAGAATATTCATTTCAAAATCAATAATTTTCATTTTCAGTTCAAATTCCTTTTCAGTAAATCTTATTTTTCATCCCTATTTATATATTATTTATATATTAATACATTCAAATATATCAGACTGTTGTTCATTTCATTTCCTGTCACACTGACATGAGTATTCAGACACTTCACTGACTCCGTTTCTCTGGATCATCTTTGGGATGTTTCTACACCTTGACTGGGGGAAGTGAGGACGTCATAATTATTCATATATTTCTAGCACGGTGATGAAGATCGTATTGTGGATGTTTTATCGGACCGGGAGTTTTTGGTATCGTTACATCCCTAATGGCCAAGGATCAAATGAAAAACCTCAGATACCTCGTCTTGTTTTCACACAGAAGCTTATTTTTAATTGTTATTAGAGTTTCTTGATATTATTATTTCTTATTTCTAGTTTGTGTTGCTGTTGAAGTGTATTGCATTATACAGAGAGGTGTTTTATATTCTGTCCACCTCACTTATTTCAATGAGAGTACACTAACTATCAGAAACACCTCAATATGTAGTTTAATTCAATTTCTCACTTTATTGATATTTACTTCATTACAATAGTCTGTCTCTGCTGTAACATAAAGTCTTATTTTAAAAGAGACAGTCATTCAGAAACTTCACTCCTCCCACCTGTGAGGTGCAGTTCCACCTTTGCTCCATTTTCACCAGAGGAAACCCTGCTCTTTCACAATAAAAGCAGAGAGAAACTGAGCTGCAGTGAGAAGAGGAGCAACACAGGAAACAAAGCACAGCTTCAACGTCTCACTCCAGAAATGAAAGTAAAGTCTGTCAGAGCAACAACTGAGCTGCAGTGGAGACGAGTCTGTTTCTCTCTGACAGAAAATTAAACTGAGTCCATCAGGTCTTTGTCAACAACACAGCAGAGTCTCTACCAAACACTGGTGAGTACAGCTGATCATATTTACTGTTTGAACAACCAGCACCAACACAAATCTTCATCTCTACTCAGGTGGAAGTTTCACTCTCTTCATTTCATACTGACACTTGTGAAATGGGTCACAATATAACTGTGTGTGTTTGTCCACAGACCCACTATAGTCCACCTTAAACTGTCTCTGTGTCAGTTCTCAGGACGTTTCTAACTCCTTACTGACTCTCTGTGGTTTCCACTTTACTTTCACTCATTTCCTGCTTTTATTACTGTTAAGTTATCACTTCCTACAGCTGTAATACATTCTACTTCCTCTAGCTGTTTCACAATAAGAGCTTTCCACCTGTGAGTCAGCAGCAGCACTTTTACTGTTCCTGCTTTTACTTTCTTCAATAAAAACTGTTCTACACAACAAGGCATGGACACAGAATTTAGGGCCACTTTCTTTAAAACATAACAGGGAAAACAAGCAGAGACAAATTCAATCAGGAGTCAGATGAAGAGCTACAGATCTCTTACTATGGTTTGTGTAACTCAGCCAGGGGGCGCTGTAACGTTACATGTGGGTAAATGGGCAAAAACAGCACTTACAACTTAATCTACAACCCAGTAAAGTGAAGGGGTCTGAACACGTTTGGAAGCCACTGTACTCGCAGTTAGCAGCTGTAAACATTCAGGCCGTGCTGGAAATTAGAGGTCGACCGATACGTTTTTTCAGGCCTGACACTTGTAATCAAAGAGACCAGTTGCTGATATTTGAGTGGATATATATTTACAGCAACAATGGAAAATTTAGTTTCAACATTTAGTAAGAAGTTGCATTTAAAGAGAAAAATTAAAAACTCCCTGTAATGATAAACTTGACATGTTGGACAGTAAAAAGATATTGTGACTATGAAGAAGAAACAGAGTTTGGACCCAAAGTAAAATAGGAATATAACTACAGCTCTACAACTACAATACAACAAAGTGTGTAAACAGGGTCTGAATACTTTCTGAAGACACACGTAGACAATCTTACAATAGTAATCATATTTCTATCTTTCACAATATAATTGTATTTTAATGTTTCTTCCAGATTGTCTGTCGACATGTCTGCTGCCAGCTGTCTGCTATCTGAAGATCAGTTCCTGTGCTCCATCTGTCTGGATGT